TGGTGCTTAAATTGACTGATTATAACTAGTCTGACAGGTCTGACTGACTTGGGGAGCAGTGGTGAGAGCACTTGCCTCCTACCACTGTTGCCTGGGTTCCATTCCCGGACCTGGCATCACATGTAGGTTGAGTTTGTTGTTGTTCTCATCCTTGCTCTGAGGGTTTTTCTCCGGGTCCTCCAGATTTCTTCCCTCCGCAAAAACCAAAATTCTTTTATAACATAACCAAAGTAAAGCGCGCGCTCTGATTGGTCAATTTAGCGTCCCCCATTTGCCCATGGGTGTACGCTGCTGACGTGAGCAAATGCAAAGACTATTTTTCCGCGCGCGCTTGTTTTTTTCTAGTCACGTAAGATTTGTTAATGTGTTACTACAATGTGTTAATGTTATGTTATAAAACAAATGGTAAACACCACAGCGTACACTATTGAGTTATGGATGCACTTGGGAGGTTTGCTAAGCACTCAAGAAGCTAGAGTCGCTCTCGGCTATCGCCTCCAGCGACTCTTTTCTTTCATGCTTAGCAACCTCCCGCGTGCATCCATAACTCAATAGTGTACGCTGTGGTGTTTACCATTTGTTAAATATGTGCAGTTTCCCTTTTGGCACTGATATCCAATAATTAAGCTGATCTTTCTCTTCTCTTTAGCATGAGTGGTTTGGACATTGCACCTGAAGAAGTGGAAGGAACTGAGACTGAAAAAGTAGAATCAGATGGATTGAAAATCTTAACTTCTGCAAACTTTGAATCCTTCTTGTCTGAGACAGAACACGTGTTGGTTATGTTCTTTGCCCCATGTAAGTGCCACGAAAAGTAAACTTCTATTACACAATGTTTATCGACTCTTGGTTTGAGTCGTAGAAGTTCCCTATAGTTTTGCTGATGTTCAGAATCAACATGTGTTGACTTAACAGTCCTTCGTGAATCGTCTTCTTATTCCTTCAGGGTGTGGTCATTGTCAGAATGCGAAACCCAAATTCCTGAAAGCTTCTAAAGCGTTTGCCGAGGAAGTTAATAAAGCTTTCACCGCGGTTGACTGCACTCAGGATAGCGGTACGTTTATCAAACTTAACTTTTGTTTCTGGAAGAGTGAGGTTTAAAATGAAAAAAAAAGATAAATGAATAGGATTAGGCTATCTCTGGATCCACTGCAATTATATTAGGTCCCCAGCCTTTAACCAAATGAGACTAGTAATGAGCTGTCACATAACCAACTTAAAACATTTTTTTAAACAGATTTGTGTGATAAACAAGGAGTGAACGGCTATCCAACCATCAAGTACTACAGATATGGTGCTTTTGTTGTTGAATACGACGGCGAAAGAACTGCGGCAGACTTTTTGTCTTTCATGAAGTCGCCTCCCAACCCCCTCCCTCCTGATCAACCAGACAGCAAACCGGATGACAAGCGAGACGAACTTTAACGTCATGTTTTGTATTTCAAAGTTATCTTTTAAATTATCCTTCCAAATTCGACAATGGCCAAATGATTCCGATACTTTTACGAAGAACTCCGTAGAATTTATTAGATGCACCCGACGTTACAAACGTCTCGTCAGACAAATTTACGACCACGTCCGCAGCAAACTCCAACCGCAAATTTACCCCTGATTTCGCTCACTTTTCTGCCTATACGCAAACAAATCAACAGGAAAGTAAAAGAAAGTTTATTTCAATCTTTCACGCCTCGAACGTAAGTATTTTCACATTGTTTTTGTTGAAAAACAGACGTTCAATGCTCATTTCTTTCCGCTCATTGTAGGCGTAGGCGTGGTTGTAAGTTTTAATTATCAGATCAGTAACTTTCCATCACTTCATAGGTTAACATTGAATCTATTTTTTTTTATCAAAAATTTTAAAATCGTTTAGGGTACATTTCGAGTTGACTGGCCGCTAATTCATCTCACGACAGTGGGTGACAGTTTCTTTTTTTTTTTTTTTTTTTTTTTTTTTTTCTATAAAAAGGAATCACCCTCAGCTTGTTTCTTTCTGGAAAACATTGTTTGATTTATTTATAAACGAAATTGCACTTCTTTAGCCTGTTATGACGTAAATTTGACACATTCTGCCCAACTGATCTGCTTCAGCAGTCAAAATTTCCGAGAAGACTCTCGAAGAAGCGTTAGCTTAAACCAGTTACAAATCATTGCAAAGAAATCAGTGATTAATATTGAAATAAACCTGAAAACTTCCTACTTACAAGTCACGGACTGTTGGGTAACACTCTTTGTGACATTACAAACAAAGGTGTAAAGCCAAACAAAAGGAGTGTTTTAAAAAGTATTTTTTGTTCAGATATTTTTCTCCGCAAAAATGCTGGTATCGTTTTATCAACAGATAACAGATCCAAATAAAGACAAGAACATTATACAAGTTGTCGTAAGCTTTATTTACCATGTATAAATAAACCCAGTCCAGTTCTGCCTCTCTCTGATTGTCATCCAGTATCGAAAGGAGGCGCCCTGAATATTATCGCCATGTTAACGGTTACAAAAATAACATACAGCAAAAGAAAAAAAATCCTTATTAAGGTCTGAGTGCGCCCGTAAATGATGGTGCGGTGAACTTTTAAAATTTACATTTCGTGCACAGGATATCGTCGCTATGTACATTGAGGAAATTACTGACCAGCTTCGAAAAGACCAGAATCATTTCATTATACATTAAACTATTTAAATGACAGTTAAGGAAATAAAGTTGCTGGTTTGTCGTGGTATGGTCAAGAATGACGTGCAGAAGCCACCTAAGAGATGAGAAAACAAATGTCGCACAGAAATCAACACCAAACGATTGAAAAGTATTTGTTTTCGTGTAGGATAACACAAGGCCGTACGCACGAATCTCTTACAAGTCCACGTAAGTTTCCTCAAGTGTTGTGTAAACAGTAAATGGCTGATTGGTTTGAATAAAACCAGGTTACAAGACAGCGCATGCGCTACTCTCGTTCCTTCTCTCCGCAGGAGCTGTAGCCGTTGATGCAGGAGCGTGGGCATGGGGGGCAGTCGTCTGAGAGTTCGCATTCATTTCTCCAATAATGGCCCGCAGTTCAGATATCTGGAAACAAACGATTGAATTCGAAAATTAACATCTGCCACACACTTTGAGCTAAGAAAATGAGTGTCCAGAGAGACAGCAGTCCCTAGCCAGCCCCGATTTCGCGGTCAGATTCTCCACAAACCCCTGAGCTTCAAGGACATTAGCGTTAGGCCCTATGCCAGGTTTATATTTGACAAACGTCTTTTTTACTGTTAGGATGAGCTATATCGATAGCGTCCAGGGTTGAACATTCGCCATCTTGACAGGTAACAATTATAATGGACTGTTACACTTTAAGGGGTAGGGAGGGGAGTAATTGTCATTGACCAACAGAAGGGTAATATATTTTTTAAACTTCAAAGAGAATATACAAGGCCATGTGAGAGTGAACTATGATACATTAAATAAAAATGTTTTACATCATCAACATAGACACTGTTCATACCGGTATTTCACTCTTGCCTTCGGACTGCTTCTTATCACAGAGCTGGCGAAGATGATTCTGAAAGACAACACAACCAAAGTTAATTATAATTATTTAGGGAGCATTATCACAATTCGTCTAAAGGCTCAATACGTTCTTCTAAGCAGATAGCGTAGCCTGACAACCTGCTTCAGAAAATGAGTGCGATATTCTGCAAATAATACTACCATGAACTTTGAAATTTTAAGAGCTTTTCCGCTGTTTTAAGACTTCCCTCAGAATCTCTCCCGTGCCAATCATCATGGTTTTTGCGATGTTGCGATATTATTGATCGTGTGGATAACATACATTGGAAGAGAAAACGAGAAACTCTCTCGGAGAAAAATGTAGGGAAACGTTCGGGATGGTTTTACTTCCCAATATACTGATACATGATTCATCACCTTACCATTTTATCTTGGAGTCGTTTGTTCTGCTTCTTTAATGTTGCATTGTCTGCCATTCCTTTTACTACGGCAGGAGTGAGAGACACCTACAGAGGAGCATTTCAAAGTTAAAATCAACTTTGCAGACAACATAGTTCACAGGACATGATCCCTGTTTGCGTCTGTTATGAAATCAGCCTTAAATGCTTTTTAATGGTTGCATTGAGTTCATACTCACGTTTTTCTTTAGTGTTTCTGCTCTCATAATTGCCTTAGTATCTTTTCCTTTCTTGGCAGTTTTGTTAACTGGTCTGTTGTCGACAGCTTGCTTACCCCAGAGTTGTATAATGACGTCTTTGTTTTTCAAAAACTGGATCAACTGAAAAAGAATAATTAGAAGTGTTGAGACTACTTTAATTTCACTATCCAACCAACGAAATGATAGTGACCAATAAAAAGGGTTTGAGTGGTACGGAAGGGGTGATGAGTATGGAGCTACACTGCGCGCGCTACGCGCTACGCGCTCCGCTATTACTTCCTCGCACTTTCCGTCATTAGAAAATTATGGCTGTGGTTCTCAGGCTTACATGAACATCACACATATAGCAAGCCATTTTGGTCAACCAGTCCCGGGAGTTTTGGAATAATAGCAGTCTACCGCAAATGGATCACATTCATCCCTTGCCCAAGCCCGGTAATTTTAATTTCTCCCTCTACGGTAGGGATTACACCTTTGTGTGTAACCTAGTTTCAGTATTTCTTGTAGCACAGTTTATTATACTGTACAAGGTGGCTCTAACTTTTAAGTCTGTGAATGGAACCTCAAATGAACTTGCAAAGCAGCAGTGACTTTGAAATGTTACCCGTCAAACTGTTTGATTCTCAAGTTCAAAGGTGGGATTGAAAGGTTGGAAACTTCTGAAACGTTTAGTTACCTTCGGTGGAACCCTTTCAAAAGTGAAAGTTCTTTCGTAGTTAAATTCGGGATTCCTTGTTCCAGATATTACTTCAGTCTTAAGATCCGCTTCAAGGTACATGGAATATTTACAGTACACGTCCTGGTTTAGGAAAAAGAGACCAGTTTTGATATCGTAAAATGAAAGCTGTCATTAATAATGGTGAAATACAAAAAAACACCGAAGTGTTATTTATTTTCTCGCGATAACTTCCGCGGATGTGGATCGCGGCATTTCGGCTGTATATTTCTTGTCTTCTTCAAATGATGGGGTCGACTGGTTAAGCTTGAATCACATTTTGAAAAATAAGCTCCCAGTGATATTGACCTTTGTCGAATCTTAGTGGTACCAAAGAAAGAGGGTACCCGATCCGAAGATTCACCAAACACAGCCGTGGAATTCCATCCAATCACAGCTGAGCACAATAGTATATAGGTGACGCATACTCAATCGACCACACCGCCTGAAGAAGACTAGCAGCATGCCTTCGAAACGTCGCTATCCACGTCCGAAGTGACCGCATCGTGAGAAAAACGATTATACTTTCCTTTTGAGTGTTGTTCACCACGATGATAAACCACAACCTACTTTACGATATAAAGACAAGCAATATTTGGATCTTACCGTGTAGCGCTTTGGAATTCCCTTTGCACTCTGCACTCGTACCACAAACACAAGCTTTCTACCTTCCTGTAGAAAGGAAACATATACAGTTAAATTTCAAATTTTCTCAGGTGTTCGCACCAAGATTTTAAGTACAAATCCGCCTTAGATATCCTCTTTTCTTACAAGTGTCGTCTATTCATTACGATGTTAACGATAAAAGATTGGACGTGAGAAAAACAGAAAAGGCTAAGAAATACACCGAGGCGGAAGAAAGATGGTTAAGAATTAGGACTTACTTTAAAAATTTTGTCTGAATTTTCTTCAGACTCACATTCTCTGATGTGGTTCTTCGCAGTTGTAGTTAAGTTTCTTTTTGTCACACGCTTCTCTCACTGTATGTTGCTTGACAAGCGTGGCGCGCGACGAGACCAGGCAACGGCTATGAAAGAGATTATCTATGACGCAGCTTATTTAAGAATTCAAAAAGATTTACCAGTTGACTAGGATCGTCAATAAATATATCATCTTCTTCTGTGATTTCTTTTCCATTTTCATTTAAAGGAACAACTTCTACCTACGTGAAAAGACACCGCTAAGTTAGAGGTTGAAGACGCCATACTCCGGCGCCATGTTGAAGGCAAAAAGATCAGGTTGCAACCGCGGAATAGGAAGAGGGTACAGTACTTACATTAAGATAGCCGAGTTCTTTTCCTTTGTAATCAGTGATACTCAGCTGTTCTCTCATATCAAGCTGAAAGGGAAACAAAAAGAAATCAAGACATGTTTACCCTGTAACGTGTGGAGGCGCGGTGGCCTCATAGTTTGTGCGCTCGACTCCGGATCGAGTGGTCCGGGTTCGTGCCCCGGCCGGGACATTGTGTTGTGTTCTTAGGCAACACACTTTACTCTCACAGTGCCTCTCTTCACCCAGGTGTATAAATGGGTACCGGCAATTTAATGCTGGCAGGTAACCCTGCGATGGACTAGCATCCCATCCTGGGGGGAGTAGAAATACTCCTAGTCGCTTCATGCTACAGAAACCGGAGTTAAGCACCGGCCTAATGGCCCACTAGGCTCGTAAACAGACTTTACTACCTTACTTACCTTGTAACGGAAAAAACAGACACTTGGAAAACACGAAAGGCTTCGGGCAATGTTAAAGATTGGTTTTAAGTGACTTGAGCGACCAGTTCACGGTATTCAGTAATCTAAACAACGATATAAAAATCTTCTTTTTCTGGTTTAAGACGCTAAGTAAAATTGCACGACTTGAGTCCCAGCTGCGCACCATGTCCTCGTTCATTGCCGATTCGGTCACTTTATCAACTTTGATGTGATTCAGTTAAGTTGTTACAGAAATAAGTGGAAGGATGAAAACAAGCAAGGTATGATACTCAAAAGTAGTCTTTGATTTAGGCGTAACGGCTACAGAAAAAGAAAAACGCCTTTAAAAAAAAACAAACAAATAAACAAAAGGGAAAATAAAAAAGATCATTACAGTGACAATGAGGGCATGGTTACCACATAACCCAGACTCTGCATAGGAACAGCCACACAGCCAATCAGACTCTCAATATCCGGACTTTCAGTAAAAGGGTCTTTACTGTCCTCGAGCTGCCAGTCATCGCCGTCTTCGAAATTCTCGTACATTTCGTCCATGACGTATTTTCTGTTGATAAACTTAGATTTTGGCCAAAGGTATTCTACGCCAGTTTGTAAGTCCCGCATGACCACGTATGGCTAGAGCAACCGAGAACAACAAAAAGAAACATCACTCGTTGTGACTTCCTTACTGCTTAATGTTACTTTAAGACGAATGTTGCCTTATGTTGTCTCGTAAAGCGGACGACATTTACAGCGTCACACTGTTATTAATAAACTGACATAATAGCACAAAGAAAATGTACCTCTGGTCTTCCCTCGGGAAGTCCTCGAGCTTTAGCAGAAACAACTGAGACTTCAAACGAAACCTGGAATATGAGAGAGAAAGAGATCAGACACATTGTGATTTCCAACAGTTTTTACGGAAAACTTTAGCTACATGGTCTACGTGCATCGTAAGATCATGATATAGAATCTTTTTCAGTACCTAATTCATTATTTATTTATCTAACAATTTGCCAAAGGCAGGTAAATTTACAAAAGGACAAGATTGTTCTCTACTTGGTAAATTCCCTTACCCTATCCCCTAAAAGTAGACAAATTGAAACCCAACCCACTTACAAGCCCTCATGCCAAAAAAAAAAAACAAAAACAAAAACCAGTTGGTCAACATGTACCTTCTTATCCAACTCTTGACTGATGGCATTTGCTTCATTTACCATCGGCATCAGATCTGCCAAATCTTCCCGTAACAACATTGCCTCTGAATATATGAAAATAACAGGGAATGAATTCCTAAAACTGGATACGTTTTCTTAGATCCACAGTGAACAGCCAACTAAATGGCTGATGGACGACTGGCTGACTTACTAAATTCCTAACATGATACAGCCGGAAAGACGAAAAGAAAGAAAGATTGGACGACCGACCGACCGACTGACTGATAAACTGACTGATTTACAGACTACCAAACGGACTGACTGAATGAAGAAGTAGCTGACCACCTGACCGACTGACTTACTGACCGAGTAATTAACTAACCAATGAACCACTGAGTCAACTGGCCGACTATACCCTACCGAATGACTGACTGACCGACCGACTGACATGACTCGCGCTCACTGATCAACTGACGTTATAGTTCATTGTCAGCTGAGATGGACTGACTAATTTATTCAACGACATATCAACAGCTACCCAACCGAATATCTGTTTCACCTTTTGACTCCTGATCATCAACGTCAAGTCCGGCGTTCTTAGCGATTTCCTCCTGCGCCATTTCATACGTTATGTCCGCCTGCTTCAAAGTCGACGACTGTGCCTCAGCAGGATGATGGAAGACATAAAGGTGACTCGTACCAAACATAACTCTACAGACGCACACAATAAAACACATGTAAGAGACTGAGAGGAATCAAAGTCAGAGTCTTGGGGTTCCACGCCTACCCGACACCTAGAGCGTTGGCTCGACTTGCGTGTAGGAGCGCGCAAGTTGTGCTCCCTCCAGCGCTCTCAATACAAGAAGGATTGAAACTATTTCAAAGCATCGTCTTCATCATCGAGTGCTAAACTTTCCTGTGCATTTCGCGAATAGGTCCCGCAGGAACATGTCAACTATTTGATTCCAATCAAAGAACAGTAGGAGACCGGAAGTAACCGAGGCTAGTGGAAAGCGGCCAATTAAAACAAAGCTCAACTCAAGAACAAACAAGTTTCTTGGAGAGCAGGAAAACGCGAGGTTTCTATTACAGTGAAGCAAAATAAATGCAGTCCTAGTTCAGTCCCCATTCTTATCAAAAATTGCCACAGTTAGATAAATGTCAATACCTGTGCAACTGCGCAGCTACCCCTCCCCTAACCCAACATTAACCCTCGATTCTTTTCAGATGACTTTTAGGGGAGCTAGTTAGGTTAGGGGGTTAGGAGAGGGGTAGGTGCGTAGTTGCTCAGAGACAAGCGTTGATCCCCGCAGCTCGTATTACGATCTCAAATTCTGCAAACAGATACCTGTCCAGATGATGAAGTTCTTCTTCTTCGTCATCATCAACCGGTTCTCCATTGACGAGGACTTTAGCTTCTCCAAAGGTTTTGATGATGATCTTTTTAGAACCTTCATTTTTTATTTCACAGTGCTGTGTCAGGATACTAGACAAAAGAAAATAAACATGACAGAGATGAAAAAGAGGTAAAAACAAGGTAATTACATGATGAGAAACCATCAAGAGAGAAATATGAAGTGTACACTTTCATTTCGGGAAAATTCAAGATGCGGTAAACAGCACAGGAGAAGAGCATTTCCTTGAAGCAGGTAAATTTCTCTTTATCTTTAACGGTCAGTAACGGAGAGCTTCAAATTGATTTGTTTGACGCATTTTGAACAAAATTTGTTCTCATAAAAAGTACTCCATAGTAGTTCTCAAGAAAAATAAGAGTTAAAGATATTGAAGATTTGTCTCCCGTTAGGATTCTCACCCCGCTAAACTATAATTTCACGAACGGTTCTTCCACCAACTGAGCTATTGAGAACTCCTTGGGGAGGAGGGGAGGGGAGACAGAGAAAAAAATAATATGGCTTGGTTGTCGAGTAAAGATAAGATGGTATCCGTCATTTTTTTAAGACAACTTACTTCAATCCATGAAGAACAATGTCTGCTGGAGGATCAGCCTTTTTGTTGCCGACTGTGACGACTCCTAGAATTTGAAAGGTTAAATAAATTGAGATCACAGTCCGCAGAAAGTTGCCATAACCTTTCTTTTACGATAATCATTAGTTTACCTGATTTAATCATGTGCACAATCATTCCCGTCAGCTGGGGATCTGGGTTCAAGTTCCACAGATGAGGAGTTGACTGACGTTCTTTCTTTTCAGCTTCTTTATCCTGGTGGGAAACATGTAAAACACGCATGAAACACAAGTCAGACATAACAGAAACTATCGCAAAAAGAAAAAATTAAAACAATATAATACTAAGAGGTATCATGAAGCTTATAGAGTACTTTTTACAATAATAATACCGTTGTAAAACCAAAACTAAGTACTGTACTAAACTGCGAGTCAAAACAGAGGAAAATATAGAAAGAGCCAAATAATATCACAGTGAAAAACAAAGCAAGCTTTCCCAAGAGCGAGAAAACACGCCAGTTAGTTACGATTGGTCTTTTACTCTACATCTCTGTGAATGGTTGAGGAGGTGCCAATCACATAGTTTACTGAGTGAAGCGACTGCAATCTCAGAACAGGGAAATGAAATCACGCTCATCTTATACACTCGTACCAGTTGGGTTCTTTCTATTGACCGTTGTACAGTAATACCTTTAGGTTTGGTTTCATAACTCTGGATCAAAAATACCCTCTTACGTCTTCACCAAGGCACTGTGTCAAGAAGCCAGCCACGAAGGCCCTTTACCTTGATATCCTTTTTGTTTTCAGCAACTCTATCATCCCAACTCTTATTCATGTCCTGTGTTTCCTGTTCTGTTTGTGCCATAGATGCTTTTATTTCTTCTTCAATCTGTTTCCTGAGTTCCGCCATTTCCTCTTCAGACAATCCTTCCTTGTCACCATCATCGTCATCGTCATCGTCGGCGGATATCTTCACAGATTCTCCTGCTTGAGCCTTCTTTAACATTTCCAAGAGTTTTTCATTTTCTTCTTTCAACTCCCTGATCAGTTTCTCTGTGGGATCCTCGTTGACTTTAGCTGATGTCTTGATCTGTTTAGCACGGTCAGCTGTCAAGGAATTACGGTCGTGGTGAATTTTAAAACATTCCGCAATTATGTTCTATCCAAGCACTCAGACATCTCTTTCGCTCTAACGACGGGCCAACGCTCGAAACTCTTTACGGTGGCTAATTTACTTTATCAACTCAGTTGATGAAACCCAAGTTACCTTGCTGCTCCAACCGGCGCAGCACCACAGTTTCTTTAGAAACTTACCCCCTTTATACCCATAACAAACGGAGTTTGAGGTCCGTACTGTAAGTTACAGACCGAGTTTTCCCCCTCTTTGGTCTCTTTGCACTTGGGCCATAAATCCGAGCGGGAAAAAAGAGATTCCATAACTGACTGTACACACCGCGACAACGAGGCTAGTCAGATATTTATTAAAACTCTGGGTTCCAATATAAGGGGACTGAGTTCAAAAATCAGGTGACTGGGTTCAAAAATAAGGGGAGAATTTTATTTCGAACAACTTCCAAATTTAGTGGGCCGTACAGTAAAATAAGGCCCGCGAAATTTACCAATCATATTGCACCTACTGACAAAGAGGTAGAACTAAAACAATTAATGTTATAGGAAATTATTTTCTTTGCTTTGTATAATTTTCAAAATGCTGATGAAATTATTTTGCTCTTACATCCCAATCAATGGCTGGGTAATTACGCAACAAGTCTGCTGATGTCTTGAAATATGTTATTCAAGAAAGGCTTTTCCAATGATGTTTTTTTTGGCAAGATGTTGCAGCTAGAAACTAGTTTCTAGGTCTAAATAATCTCTCAAGAAGAAAGGCATAAGAAGACAGCATAAAACTCACCATATCTTAGGGTTGAGAGAGTTTCATCATAGTTTATGTCTGCAGGACTGATGGCAGCAATCTGGTTTGATGAAATGTAAGATTTATTTAGGAAAAAACATACACTGAATCCATACCTGAAACTTGAAAGCCCACCACAAAACTGCCCATATTGAAAATTATCATAAACCCAAGAAACTGAAGAGAAAGTGACATGTTAAGATATGAAAGTGATTTCAACCATTATCCACTTATAATCTGACTTTTAAACAAGCCAGGATATTTATAAGCATACAAGTTTGAAAATGGAATAGTTCATTCCTTACCATCATAGTTTTACTGTTGCCACCAAGAGCATTTTTCAAAAGTTTGGTCAACACTGAATCTCTGAATGGAACTGTAAAATCAAAATCAAATACTTGTATTAGTCTCCAAACAAGTAAAATTCTTGCTAACAATAGAAATGTATGATTATTTCTGGAGAGAACTACTTATCAAAATTATCATAGCGTTACCTCTGACATTTTTCCCATTGGCCTTGTCCACAAGAGCTAAAATTTAATCAACAAGTTACAAGTGAGTATTAATCATTACCATAGTCAAAAATTAATATAAGTCATTTCTTTGTCTCACCACAAAGGATCAGAACAATTGCTCCTCTGACAATTTCCCTACTATTGGTAACTAATTTCACTCGAATACAAAAAAAATTTAAAGAATCATTTTGTATGTGGAGTCTTGCAGTGCATGTGACATCCCTTCTGGTTTGAAAAAACAATGACTTGTAACAATAAAACTTCCTGGTACACTCCAAAATTTCAATATGCTGCTTATGCCACACCCATATCCCCCCTTTCAA